CCTCCTGAGTTAAGTGCCCAGGGGCGCTCCACCCCGAAAGCCAGCCTCCGGCAGGCAAGCACTCAGCTCTGCTTACCCTGTGGTTGGGCAAGTTCATCCCTCTGTTCTCTGCGCTGGCTTCTGGTTCAGCTGCTGCTCATCTGATGCGGTAGCTCTCCTCTGGACCAGGTGGTTCACTTTGCAGGGGTTCAATCCTCTCCTGGCTCTCGCTGTTAATAAAGAGGATTCCTCCTCTTTCTCAGAAGGCTCATCTATACACAGCAGGATGGCACTCGGGGGAGTCCTGTCTGTAATTACTCACAGGTGAATCCTATGAGTGTCTTCCTAATTACCAAGCCAATGGGGGGGATGGTCAGAGACTTTGGCTAGAAGAGCCACATTCAATCATTCACTGCCCTTGCAGTAACTTTGGACTTGGAAATATGTGTGTTATCATGATGAGGAAGTACACATCAATTCCCTTTTCCCCTCTCTTTATGTTAGTGAGTGTTCTGTCAGGAGCGGGTTAGTTACATTTTATTAAGTCCCTCTTCATCAGAAACAGAAGTGACCAAATGAGTTTGTTTTGTTTTTAACTTGGGTCAACTAATAGAACAAAATACAGTAGTAAGTTTCCTAATATTCAATCAGTCTTCCTAACAATCATCCTTGGGTACGGAAAGTAAAACCCACTTGTCGTGACCATGGTTCTTTTCACGTGTGGTGTGTTGTCTAGGGTTTTAATCACTTTACAGCACTGTCAGAAAGGAAAGGGGCCCTGTGGTGTCGTGGTTACGAGTTGGGCTGCCATCTACACGGTCAGCACTTTGAAACCCTGAGCGGCTCCGAAGGCTTTCTACTCCCGTCTTGGGCGCCCCCAGAGGTTTGCTGTGAGTCAGCCTTGACCCAAAGGCAGTGAGTGAGTTATCATAAAGGGAAATTGTTTATAATACCCATTTGTGTAATCTTCATCAGATGTTACAGTTCGCTCTTCTATTGTTACAAATCGATTACCACTTAGTAAAAAGAATTAGGTTTTATTCTTTTTCGGTTTTCTGGTAGTTTAACTGGCCTAGGGATTTGGAGCTTCTTTAGAACATGCCTAAGACAGAGAGATAAGCACAGCAAAAGTAAATTCATGCTATATTGTCTGAAAGTATGCAATGATACAACCAACGAGAAACAGAAGTTGAATGGGGGGAAAGCAGGCAGAAGAGTCAGTGTATTATCTGGGAATCAGATGACGCCCAAATCTGGAAAATGTCGTAGTTTAAATACATTTAAGAGTACAGCAGACGGAAGCACCAAGAAAGATAATATTTCTTTAACATTTCTAAGCGCGAGCTAGTTTTTATTACTTGCCAATATTTTGCTGATAAATTTTCGCTAGCTGTATGAACGTTAACCCAAAAAAAGTCTGCTGCCATTTAGTTGACAGAGACTCACAGAAACCCCCTCTGAGGTTTCCAAGGCCAGACATCTTTGTGGGACCAGAGAGCTGCATCTTTCTCCCAGGAAGCAGCTGGTGGCTTTGAACCACCACCTGGGGGTGAGCTGCCCCGCGGCTCCTCGGACAGCCTGCTGGGGGAGGTCAGGATTCGTGGGGCAGCGAGCCTGTGCGTCAGCCCGTCCTCGGAGTTGTTCTTGTATGAGTTTTTGAATAAACCCGTTTCCTGGACTTAACAGCAGGACATTTCTAGCGACGTGTCCAGGGTTGGGATTTAAGCTTGCAGTGGAAGGACTTTCTCTGCTGTTGGGACAGAAAAGCTCTAGAACACGGTTCTTCTCTGTCTCCTGCACATTTGACTCTCAGCCCCTGTTCTGGTTAGACAACCACTTCCTTCACTCCCGGTTCCCAGGTGCCTTCTCATAACGTCTGAGGTCATCCCGTTAGCTACCTTTTGCTGAAAGGTGACGAGAGTGAGCCCCGTGGGCGGGCGCACAGCTGGAGACGATGTAGCCTGCTGGCTGGTTCCTAGGAGTGGAGCTGTGTTCCAGCTCGGTTGACTCAAACTGCTCCACCTCAGGGCAGACGGTGGCTGCTAAAGGGGCTCGTTGGGCACCAGCCACCCTGAAACCCCTTGACAGGACTGTCCCTCCTCTCAGCACTTGGGTGCCTTCCTGTGCAGATTTGCTTTGTTTGACACTATTTACCCAGCTTCATGTTGATCGGTTTTCTTTGTCCCTCAGTTTTACTGAAAATGACGTTTTTATTGTTTTGTTTGTTTTTCTTGTTGCTATTTGTCCGTAAGAAGAAGAAAGTGACTCAGAACAAAAAAATCATATCAGTGTGAATGGGGGGTGGGCACAGAATGGAGACCCAAAGCCCATCTGTAGACAGTTGGACATCCCCTTCCAGAAGGCTCACAAGGAAGAGACGAGCCAGTCAGGGAGCAGTACAGCACCAATGAAACATACAACTTTCCTCCAGTTCCTGAATGCTTCCTCCCCCACCCCCACTATCATGATCCCAATTCTACCTTACAAATCTGGCTAGACCACAGCATGTACATGGGTGCAGATAAGAGCTGGAAACACAGGGAATACAGGACGGATAAACCCCTCAGGATCAATCATGTGAGGAGTGATGCCAGGAGGGGAAGGGGAGGGTTGGGGGGAAGAAAGGGGGAACTGATCACAATGATCGACATATAGCCACCTCCCAGGGGGATAGACAACAGAAAAGTGGGTGAAGGGAGACCGCAGTCGGTGTAACACATGAAAAAAATTTTCTTTTAATAAGTTATCAGTGGTTCATGAAGGAGGGAGGGGGGAAGGGGGGAAATGAGCTGATACCAAGGGCTCAGGTAGAAGGAAAATGTTTCGAAAATGATGATGGCAACATATGTACAAACGTGCTTGACACAATGGATGGATGGATGGAGGGATGGATGGATGGATGGATGGATGGATGGATGGATGGATGGATGGATGGATATATGAGTTGCAAGAGCCCCCAAGAAAATGATTTAAAAATTAAATTAAATTTAAAAAAAGAAGCAAGTGAAGTGGGACACTTACAAATAGGCAGCTGTGATGTGGGACCAGACGTCAGTGCTGTTACTGATAAAGCTGAGGAGGTTCTTCTCATGTTCTGATTTTGATCAATATTGTTATTTTTTTATATATTCTGTACTTTGGATTTGATCATTAGCGTTTGGCCTAAGACTTTTTGTTTTATTAAATACTTTTATTGGGGGCTCTTACATCTCTTATCACAATCCATACATTCGTCCAGTGTGTCAAGCACATTTGCACATATGCCGCCATCATCATTTTCAAAGCATCCTCTTCCCACTTGAGCCCCTGATATCAGTTCCCCATTTCTTCCCCTCCCTACACCACCCGCCCTCTGAATTATTATTTTTGTATCTTACATCACCCTCTGTCGCCCCTCACTACCTTTCCATTGTTCGTCCCCCTGGGAGGGGGCTCTAGTTGATCTTTGATTAGTTCCTCCTTTTACACCCACCCCCCACCCCCCACCTCTCCCAACCCTCTTGGTATCTCTACTCTCCTTGTTGGCCCTGGGGAGTTTATCTATCCTGGATTCCCTGCATTGCGGGCTCGTATCTGTAGCAGTGTGCATGCTCTGGTCTAATCCGATTTGTAAGGTAGAATTGAGGTCATGATAGTGGGGGGAAGGAAGCACCAAAGAACTAGAGGTAAGTTGTGTGCTTCATCAGTGCTATACTGCACCCTGATCTCTTCCCTGTGACCCCTCTGTGAGGGGATATCCAATTGTCTACAGATGGGCATTGGGTCTCCACTCCATGCCCCGCCCCCCATGCACCTTGGGTAGGATTTTGTTCTGGGTCTTCGATGCCTGATAACTGATCCCATCGACACCTCATGATCACACCGGCTGGTGTACTTCTTCCATGTGGTGGCCTAAGATTTAGATTGTTTTATTTATATTTCATTTCCAAAGCTGCTAAGTGTTTCCTTAGTTGGGCATGAATTGTAGTGTAATTTTTTGTGTAATCGCAGAAGGTCACTTGTACTATTTCTCCTGTTTGGGAATTAAGATTCCCGCTGCGGCTTTTCTTTGTTTACTCTCTTATTAGGGTCTCTGTATTTTATTAGTTGAGTTTGCTTTGCAATCTTCACACATTCTTTTTCACCTTTGCACATTTCAGTTACATATTCATTGCACTTAATGTTGTGCTTTTTCCCAATCTCATGTGTTTTCTTACACTTATTAATAGCACCAAAATATTTGTGATACTTGGTTTTTTTTTAATCATTTCATTGGGGGCTCTTACAGCTCTTTTCACAGTCCATTCATGCATCCGTTGTGGCAAGCACATTTGTACATACTGTATATACTCCAGTATAAGCCAACCCGAATATCAGCCAAGGCACCTAATTTTACCACAAAAACTGAATTAAAAAGGTACTGAAAAACTCGGTTTATACACGAGTATATACGGTATGTTGCCATCATCCTTTTCAAAACATTTTCTTTCTACTTGAGCCCTTGCTATCAGCTCATTTTCCCCTGCTCCCCCTCCCTCCCTCATGATCCCTTGATAATTTATCTTTTTTTTTTTCATGTCTTAGACCAACTGCTGTCTCCCTTCATCCACTTTTGTGTTGTCCATCCAGTTATATGTCGATTATTGTGATCGGTTCCCTCTTTCCTATCCACAACCTTCCCCTTCCCCTCCTGGTATCGCTACTCTCATTATTGGTCCTGAAGGGTTTATCTGTCCTGGATTCCCTGTGTTGTGAGCTCTTGTCTGTAGCAATGTAGATACCCTGAACTAGCAAGATTTGTAAGGTAGAATTAGGGTCATGACCATGGTGGATGATACCTGGTTTTCATTTGACTAAAAGGCGGGCTAAAGCACAAGTAGTTGTGATCCAGTTGAAGATCCCACTACCGTATGCAAAGAGCTGTTCCCAGGGTGCATGAGGAAGGAAGCGGGCACTAGCCAAGAGGAGTATCCTCAGTCAGCACCGTGCTTTCTATTTTATATTTAGAATTTCATGAACTAAAGCACTTTCCTGCCTTACAGTTTTGACACATGATGAACTCTAGCACCGGTATGCAGGAGATGAGAATCTGTGAGAAGTCTGCCACCTGCTGGGAACGTGAGGAACTACTGCCAAGACTACTGGGGAATGCCCTGGAGATCCGTAATAGATTCATTGTTAAAAAAAAACTGTTTTTTAAAACAAATGTACTTAATGTGTTGAGTAAGTTTTCGCTACATTCAAATATGTTCAATTGATTATTTAAAAGTAAGCTGTTCATTTTTCCTGATATCTGAAAGCATGGGGCTTCTTTCTGCCAGTTACACTTTTGACATTGGGTTAGATAGGCAGTAGAAATTAGATCTGCCTGACTGGGTCTCATGTAAGTGTAGCAAACCATCGGCATCTTTGTGTGCTCCAGTTCTATGTGCATCTGTATCTCTGTTTTTTAAAAATGCATTTAAAATGCGAGAAGCCTATTTTCTGTTTTCCTTCTGGGATAAAAACGGATTCATGTTTATCTATGTTTAATACAAAAACAAAAAAATTAAACCTATTTGTACGATAACGATTGCCTTAAATTAGAAGTAGTGTTGCACTGTGATCATTTATTTTAGTTAAACCATATGATGTTTCAACCCTATAATTCATTTCTATTATTTTTAGATTGCCAAGTTGTTTTCCATAAAATTCATGGGAACTCGTGGTATGTATACATTCTTTACAGGCACACACAGCTTTGATTACTACTGGCTATGTTATAGAGACTGTAAAGAATAGGTTAATAAAACCACTGCCACTGAGTCAATTCCAACTCATAGCAGCCCTGTAGGTCAGGGTAGGGCTGCCTCTGAGTTTCCAAGACTAAGCCTCTACAGGAGCAGACCGTTTGATCTGTGCAAACGGCAGCTCAATGCATACATCACTGTACAGCAGGGCTCTTGTAATAACAATGATACATATTCAGAGCAAAGTAGTCTAGAATCATACAGTATTTGGAAGAGAAGAAAAACAGTGCCATTTGGACTTCATCCCCTAAAGATCGGATTCAGCAGCTCTGAGGTGAGTTTGGGAAGTTAGCATGATTTAAAGCTCTCCAGATGATTATGTGGCACATGAAGTTTTAGGGGGAAATTTAATAGCGTTTGGTGCACAGCCAGTGGACTGGCTTCCTCCTCCCCAACAACATGCTGCGAACCTCCGTGGTGGCACGGAGCTCACGACCTCGAAAGAGCGGTTTCATCCTAAGTGTCCGCAGTCTCCACACGGTGCACCTGGAGAACCACTCTCATGCCGTGTAACAGCGCAGCGTATGTAGCTCAGTGCCACGGAGCCAGCGCTGGCTCAGCAGCCTTGAGGGACTGAGCAGAACTGCCCTTGTGGGTCTCCGAGACTGGGCGTCTTCGTGGGAGGAGAAAGCCTGATCTCGTCTTTCTCCCTGGCAGTTGCAGTTAGCAACCCAACACTGGGCCACCAAGGCTCCACAACCGATAATGTAGAAAGTAACAACTCTGGCCCCAGCAGCTGTATTGATTCCTAGTAAGAGATCACAAAACCTGCCCCTCCCCTGCTTACTCACCTTGTTACTGTAGACAAAACCCGTCTGTTTATGATCAAACGTAGTGGACAGGTGTGGCCTGGCGTGGTGGGACTAGCATTGTCATGAGGTCCCTAGCAATGTAGAAGTGATGGATATTGATAGTTTGAACCCAGTAGTCTGATCTCTGCCTACTTAGATCAAGAAAAACAGACCTGCGTGAAGGTTAAAAATGTATTCAAAACAAGATTCTAACTCAAGAATTGCTTCCTGGTTAAAGACTGAATCCTAGAAATATGAGGCAATGCCATGTCAATCTACATATCGTGCTTTTATGTATTAAGTATTCCCAAACAAGGATTTGGTCAGTAAATAAAAGGTACAAAGTTTAGGGGCTTTGCAGGAACTGTAAACCTTAATATGGAAATTACCTGGATTTTTAGTGATCACTAAGCACTGATTTGGGCATGGGGCAGTAGGTAGCAAGGGAGAAGAAATTAATGCTTGCAGAGTTATAACTCCTCAGGATCTGAGTAAGAATCGAACATACCAAACACCCTCCTCTTTTCTCCTAGCAGCTGCCACACCTATTACACAGACAAAGGCTGACTAGTGTTGTATTACAAAGATAAAATGTAAATAATTTAAAAGCTTGGAAGCTTTGAGTATTATGAATTATAGCCTCCCAAAATATGTATTAAAGTCCTAGCTCCCATACCTGTGGATGTGATCCTGTTTGGAAACCGGGCTTTTCCTTTGCTGTTATTGAAATTATACCAGATAGAATGAGTCCTAAACCTAATTACTTGTGAGGTATAAAGAGAACAAATAAACACAGACACACATGGAAGATGCATCGACACACTCAAGAACTCCAAGGGTTGTCAGGAGCACCTGATGCTGAAATCGATGAAGGACCTACCTTTAGAGACCTGCCCAGAATTCGGATTTACAGCCTTCTGAACTGTAAGCAAATTTCTGTTCTTTAAAGGCACACACTTGTGGCAATTTTTTTTTAAGCAGCAGTAGTTAGTTACCTGAGACAGATTTTAGTGCCAAGTACTTAAAATGTACAAGTGGTTTGGGGACTGGGTAATTTATAAAGGCTAAAGGAATTCTGGTTTATTTGATAGTAACATCCTAGACGGCCTTAAAAAAGACTGTAGCAGAATTATGAACCTTAGAGGCAATTTCAGTAAGGGCTTAAGAACTGAGAATTATGAAGCTTCACTTGGGTGTGCTACTGTGACCTATTAAGTGACACGGAAGGCCTCCAATTTTGAGGGGGGCCCAGAACAAGAAAAGGCTCTTCAGTAGGTTCAGGCTGCCGTGCAAGCTGCTTTGCCACTGGGACCATATGATCCAGCTGACCCAATGGTGCTAGAGGTGTCAGTTGTAGATAAAGATGCAGTGTGGAGTCTTTGGCAGACCCCTATTGGTGAATCACAGCGTAGACCATTGGGATTTTGGAGTAAAGTCTTGCCATCCTCTGCAGACAACTACTCCCCCTTTGAAAAAACAGCTCTTGGCCTGCTTCTGGGCCTTGGTGGAGACTGAATGCCTCACCATGGGCTACCAAGTCACCATGGGCCACCAAGTCACCATGAGGCCTGAACTACCTATCATGAACTGGGTATTGTCTGACCCACAGTCATAAAGTTGGAGGTGCGCAGCAACACTCCATTGTTAAATGGAAGTGGTATATGCGAGATCGGGCCAAAGCAGGACCTGAAGGTACAAGTAAGCTGCATGAAGAAGTGGCCCAAATGCCCACAGTCTCCACTCCTGTCACATTATCTGCTTTCTCCCAGTCTGCACCTATGGCCACCTGGGGAGTTCCTTACCATACTTTAACTGAAGACCAAAAAAGTCATGCTTGGTTTACAGATGGCTCTGCATGACATGCAGGTGCCACTCGTAAGTGGACAGCAGCAGCACTACAGCCCCTTTCTGGGATTTCCCTAAAGGACAGTGGTGAAGGGAAATCTTCCCAATGTGCAGAACTTCGAGCGGTGCACCTGGCCGTTCAGTTTGCATATAAGGAAAAATGGCCAGATGTGAGACTGTATACTGATTCGTGGGCTGTGGCTAATGGCTTGGCTGGATGGTCATCGGGAAGGTTGAGAACCACTGTTCTAGAGCCACCCTGTGTGTTCAGACTTCTAGCCTCCTGAACTGTGAGTAAACTTCTGCCCTGCATAGCCTGACACTCTTGGTATGTTTATGCCATTAGTAGGCAACTAAGCCATGAAGCTTTCTGAAAGCTTATGTGTTGTAGCTCTCCATTAATCTTTGGAAATAGAAAGCATATGTTTGAGAAACAGCTACTTTTCTTTGTTTTTAGAAGTTTGATGCAAATCTTTGGCAGTTGCCCCCTCTTGTCCTTTGCACCTTAAACCCAAACCACTGCCTTTAAGTTGACCCAGAGTCATTCCGATTGCCCTCCTCTGAGGTCCCACCTATTGGGAATTCAGAGGTCCCAGTCTGCCTTCTGTGCTCTGACCTTCCCTGTCAAGCTATGTACACAAGGTAGCCTTTTGTCCCCCATGTACTGATACTGTGTGGAGCCAAGTTAGAAAGTAGACTTCTCCCTAGATGGAAAATGGGCTTTCTTAACATTTCTTGTATTTAAGCATTAGAAATTAATCAAAGGGAAAAAAGTACTGATATGACCATAAATATTTTTATTAAATGTGAAAATACACGGGCATAAAAATAGTACCCATATTTGTAGACATGTGTAAGACCCATTTCAATTTTCAAATTTTAGGGTTTTTTTTATTAAAACACACATCAGATGGATTGTTTATTTATGCTTGTCTCATTCAAAACAAACTCTAGCTTTATAGGAGTAATATTCTAACTTGTCAAATATTTTCAAATTTTCTCTAGATCTCTGCTTCCCACTGCAGGTAAGAGGTTCAACCACAGGTAAGTGCAACAAACCTGTCGCTATACACAAAGCCACGTGGTGGCTAATTTTACTCTTAAATCATTCAGCAAATGAGATCTGTGTGGGGAAAAAAATTACCCCATCTAGGAACATCATTTAACGTTACAGAATAGACTCTGCCATTAACAAAAAAGGAATGATCTGATTTGAATGAGGATACTAGCTGGTGACAAATTAGCATTGTCACTCCTACCTTATAAATGTGGAAAAGTAAACAACATCCAACAAAGTTGCCTGCATCTCTCCAGGTGACCCCCCCTAACATGGACTCCCTGAGGTATGTTCAAGCCCAACCGTGTACCAGTACGTGTACAAACCATGTACAAAGCCGTGTACCGGTACGTGTACAAACCATGTACAAAGTGTGTACCAGTACGTGTACAAACCATGTACAAAGCCGTGTACCAGTACGTGTACAAACCATGTACAAAGCCGTGTACCAGTACGTGTACAAACCATGTACAAAGCGTGTACCAGTACGTGTACAAACCATGTACAGGCTGCACTCTCACAAACCTGACTGATGAGCCATTTGTAACTCAAGCACCTTTTGCATCTTCCTTCCTTCCTGGTAAATAATTGTCTACTATAACCTTTGACTAATTTCATGCTTTTAAAGAAATTCCTCCCGTGAAGGCAAAATGATGTCAATATCAAATTGTGATTCTGTTGAAGTAACTACTCGGTTATTGATAGCATTTTTCTTTTAGAAAAAGGATGGGTAGTTATTAAATTCCATCACCAGAGTCAAGGAAATTTGTTTTTATACTGATATTAAAATGTTTTTTAATACTGACTAAAGAGAAAGATATTAAAATCACTATTAAGTTGCATCCAATTTATACAAGTAAACTATTGAAACGTTTCTACTTATTTTTGGTAAAGTACGTAACTTCATGGTTTCTTTTGTGACAAGAAAATCTTTCAAAACTTGGGAAGGAATTAAATTTCGTCTCCTTCCTTGGGACGTTTCCACGTGGAGCCTGCTGTGGGGAATGCTTCCGCTGTGGGGACAGGCACGGGTACAGCCAGGGATGCTGCCCTCAGGGAGCACTCCACGAGGCCCGTGCCGACACCCAGGCTAGGGTAGCCACCCC